ACGTTTTGCGGTATGGGAGGAAAATACTATATACATATTCATTATATTAATAAACTGTATATTTAATTTGATATTTTAATAGCATCTTAATACATTAAGCCATGTTAAGTGTTTATGTTTTTCTACAGGAGGAAAATGCTTAACGAGAGACTTTGGGCATGCGTTCATGTTCTTTTTCTTGCAGGACCCTGTATTTTATAGTACTAAATTAGTTTTAATCGTTTAATCACCACAGCGTCTTGTCTCCATTGGCAACACGCACGATTTGTGTCGATTGCAAGTGACGTCGCAGGTATCGGAGAGTGCAAGTGGCGATTGCAAGTGACTTCGTAATTTAGTTTCTTTTGTCTTGTCTTTAGTTTCTTTTTTCTTGTCTTCACCACCTGGCTACTGTTGTAAAATGTTGAGAGATTCAAACAAAAAGTAATAAAAAATAGAACAAAATAAAAAAATAAAGACTGCAAGTGATGTTGCTAGCGGAAGCGCAAGTGTCTGAGAGTGCAAGTCTGAGAATGCAAGTCTGAGAGTGCAAGTGCAAGTCTGCAGCCAGACCCTCTTGGAACGCACACGCGCACCCTGTTCGCTTTCATTATTTTACAGGTTTTTTTTTTGTTTTGTTATTGTGACTGCACACAAATAAAAGAAGAGTCTTTAAAGCTTACAAAGATGTATAACTCCTATTTGTATGACCACAAAAAAATTTAAGCGCAAGTGATCACACCGGCACGCGCTTCCTCATTCCGCACAAACACTGAAATAGCTCACATTTTTATAGGTTAACGTTAGAGCGAGCGGCCATGTGAAGTTGCTACTACTTACATGTTTCAGATGATAATCCATATTTGAGGTCGATGTTTGATAGGCGAGCGTTTGGATGCCCTGGCCGATGTACTGTATATTACCGCATAGAGCAGCTGCTAACCATCTTTCGTCGCAGAATGCATGACTTCACCACTTCCTGTGTATTATTTTTTTTTCTCCAAGCGACTAAAAAAAATATGGTCGACTAAGCCTTTTCTCGTCGAGTAACAATTAGTCGACTATTAGAGGGCAGCCCTAAAAAGTAGTGTATATATATTGGCCTATTTTACTTATCATAACAGTATCAATATGACAGCTGATATATTGTTCATCTGTACTGAATATACCATTGTGCACAAGTATGTCCGTGTTACATGGTACTAAACGCTTAGAATAAACTATGAATATCTTGTAAAAAATTAAATACCATGAACTTGGCAAACTGGTTACATCTAGTTCTTGCTTAGAAGTGTTTGTTGTAAACATGACTATGTTTATGATTAACACCTGTTCATCCTGATTTTCACCAGAACCTAAATAGAAGCCAGCCAATCTGTTTGAGTGCTATAATCAGTACTCACTATTACCGAATTGCATTACCCTCACATTAACCCTGACTACTGAATTATGAGAACTGGGCTGAGGAGAGCGTTGAGCATTTACAGTAGACACAGGGCCACTAGGGACTGTGAGCTCTGAGAATATTGCTTGGGATGAAGAGAAGGGAGAAGGGAAAACATGCCTCAGTGGACTACAAGAGGTGATTTTGGTTTTAAAGGTTGATAGGGGAAGGTGTGTACATCGATTTGGATACAGATGACAATAAGCTGTGTTTGTATTGGTGGTGGGCCGTTGAAATGATCTAGTCTGATCCTCTCAATGTTATATAAGCCTGATTGATAAACTAAATGATTGTCAGTGATGGTGACACCTTGAGCAAACACATACTGTGCCTCTCTAGCAATGCCCACTGCCCGCTGCGTTACTACAGCAACACGCGCAGCACTCAGAAACCTGTTTCTCTGAGAGCCAGAGGTGTGTGACTACAAGGAAGGTGGTTTAGATTGAGGTTTAGGGTTAAAGCTAAGAGGGGTTGCAGGTGTAGGATTGAGGGATAAGGTGGAAGGCAGGGGGATATTAGGGTTGGGAGGGGACAGTTTTTGGGGGGTTACCTGTAGTGGGGGTGCTGGTAGTGACAGTGTGGAACTTCTGAAAGAACAGTGAAAGAACATTCTTAATGCTGTCTCTCTCTCTCTTTCTTTTCCTCTCTATCTCTATGCCATCCGGTTCAAACACTTCCCTCCATCTTTTCTACTTCCTTTCAGTGTATGACTGTGATAGTTTATTCTCCCATTCACTCTCTCTTCTTCCATCCCTACCCCTTCTGACCATTCAAACTATTCTATTTTGCTCTCTTGAATTTCTCTCTTCACTGTCTTCTCTCTCTCTCTCTCTCTCTCTCTCTCTCTCTCTAAACCTTCTGGTTCTGTCCTCTAGTGCAGTGATTCCCAGCTAAGGGTATGCAAACCCCAGGGGTTACATAAGCAGGGAGTGCTTAAAACAACTCTGTGCTTGATTTCTTAACTTTATGTATGACTAGATGTATGAGAGTGAAACGTTTTCAACATTGATAATAATAGGAAATGTTTCTTGCAGCAAATCAGTATATCAGAATGATTTCAGAAGGATCATGCGACACTGCTTTGTGCAGTATTTAGCTTTGCTAAATTTGATTTTTAAATATATTGAACTAGAACATTAAATTTAAATTATAATATTTCACAATATTACTGTTTTTGCTGTATTTTGATCAAATAAATGCAGCCTTGGTAAGCATATGACACTTAATGAGCCCAAACTTTTGAACGGTAGAGTATGTACTACATAAAAACACCTGACAGAGGCAGATTTCTGTGTCACTTGATAGAATGATAATTGTAAATGATATCCAGCATAATATGAATTCAAATGAAACATTTCTGGTTTGTGTTGATTAAGGGGTAATTGAGCCGTACTGAGGGGGCTGTAGGGGGCAAAAAAGGTTGGGAAACACTGCACTAGCTTTCCCCCCATTCTTCTATCCTCCCATTTCCCACATCTTACCCATCTCTTCCAGTTCTGATGTCATGGATTTGGAACGCAGAGCAATAGCTGGTGTGCTCAGCCTTTTACTCTGCTGTGGGACTGCGTGGAGAGAGAGAGAGAGAGAGCGAGAGAGAGAGAGAGAGAGAGCGAGAGAGAGAGAGAGAGAGAGAGAGAGAGTGTCACTGGTGTCATGATCATCATGTAATGCTTCACTGTTGTCGCTGCTGTGTGAATTTGTATCTCTTACTTTTCCTTCTGACCCCTTCCTCCATATCAGGGTTTCGGGTAACCATGACAACCTTAACCATGAGGCTGTTGCCGCCTTGCCTGATCATATTGACCACCTGCCTGTGTCCCACCTTAACCACATTCTGACCATTCACCTGGAAAAGAGAAAGAAACAACATACAGAAAGATACAGAGAGACCTTGAGTAATGAGGACAATTCTAGAGAGTAATGATAAAGGGAAGGACAGAATATAAATTCTATGATGCAGTTCTACAGAAACCTCAATAAGGAAGTCTCCCATTCGCAGACCAGCTCTCCAAGCCACGCCTCCCTCGTCAACAGACTCAAGGTACTGCAGTGCTGGAAAGGCTGGGGTGGGAGTGAACTCTTCTATAGGGGTCTGAGCTACAAAGAGAGGACATTTATATAATGCATGTCCAGAATGTTCTATTGAAGTTTACAATACATGGACAGTTATGAGAAAACACAAGAAAATGAAAAAGAAAGGATGAACAGTGATAAAAGATAAATGTTCTCATTTTGGAATGCATCAGTATAAATGTATGTGTAAGAGATAAAGAGCAAGAGTGAATGTGCCCTCTTATGCAGTGTGTGACTTATTCAATGACTTTCGGGGGGGTAGATTTATTAAAATAATTTGGCCAGAGAAAAGCAGAGTACAGTGTATGAATGCATACATTACAGGACAGTCTGTACTGACTCTTTAAAGATGAAGTGTGCCATGTTTTCAATGATAAAATTCTTCTATGTCAGTTTAATGTGCTTTTTAACAGTGGGGAGGCACAGATGTCAAATATTAATGAAAAATTATATACTTTTTTGTGTGTGTGTGTGTGTGTCTGTAACATTGCTTCTAAAAGCTGTTTTTTATGGTTAATTCAACTACATGCTGAAATTACCTACCTAAAAAATTCAACCAAGCTCAGAACAATTTATTTTACAATATTTCCAAATAGCAATGCGCAAGATGAAAACATACAACTTTGTTTTCAAATTAAAACGATTGATTTTTGCTGTAATTTTCCAAAATATTAAAATGCAGAGATATGTGTTATAAATATAAATATAAATTAACATTTACATTTATGTCCTCTCTCAATAATATAATCTACACTACTATTCAAAAGCTTGGGGTCTGTAAGATGTTTTAAAGAAATTAACACTTTTATTCAGCAGGGATAAAACTTATCAAAGAATCCTGAAAATACAGTTTCCACAAAAATATTAAGTAGCCCAACTCTTTTCAACACTGATAATAAAAAGAAATGTTTCTGAAGCAGACTAGCATATTAGAATGATTTCTGATGGATCATGTGATACTAAAGACACTGGAGTAATGGCTGCTGAAAATTCAGCATTGCCATTACAGGAATATATGAAATTTTAAAATATATTAAATTAGAAAATAGCTATTTAAAATTTTAATAATATTTCACAATATACTGTTTTTCCTAATCGGAAGAATATAATGCATGTCCAGAATGTTCTATTGAAGTTTACAATACATGGACAGTTATGAGAAAACACAAGAAAATGAAAAAGAAAGGATGAACAGTGATAAAAGATAAATGTTCTCATTTTGGAATGCATCAGTATAAATGTATGTGTAAGAGATAAAGAGCAAGAGTGAATGTGCCCTCTTATGCAGTGTGTGACTTATTCAATGACTTTCGGGGGGGTAGATTTATTAAAATAATTTTTGTCAGTGGTTTTTCAGTAGTTCTTTAATAACATAAATATAAATATGTTTCAAACAAAAACGAAAGTTTTTTTCGATATATCTGTGATGATCCTGTTAATGAGTGTCTATTTACAGCATAATGACAAATCTGCGATCTAACTTTGATGCTAATTAAAATGCTGAAACATATATTTATATGTAAAAAGAATATATTGCACCCTGCTCTTACCCTTGGCTCCTCTTAGCACAAAGCCAAATCCTTCATTGTCTTTTTTCTGCAGGAGGACTGTCTTCTCCTTGATTACGTAGTCACTGAAGGAAGGAAGGAAAGAAAGAAAGTAAGATAGATAGATTATGGGGTAGAAAAGGCAGATAAAAGAGGACAGAAGACATGGGAAATATCTCCACTGCATCAGGAAAACTCTTAAATCCTGAACCAGCTATTGA